TAAAACAATTTACAGGCCTAATAATGTTTGAACTTTTACACAACTTGAACTTGAACACAATTTGATCTCTTGTGTAATACGTTAACTGTGTTTTAAGGAAATAAGTGCTATTTTTTAGTCATTACACTGGTATCGTCAAATACTTAAACTCAAAGTATCGATATCGGTATCAGAACTGAAAAAGCTGAATCGGTGCATCTCTAATCGTGGCACCCCTGACCATTGTTTGAACTGTACAAACAAACTTGGTCAAAATCTCACTTCTGATCTGAGAAGGATGTGAAACCAAAACACACATTGCCCAGCGTTACCAAATAAAGAAACCATGGCAACGTATTATTGATTTATATTCATAAGTTATCAGTAAAAATAAGTAAAATAGCAAAAATAATTGATTCACTTTTATGCTTCAGTTTTCACCTGCTTGTATCAATGGTGGAGTCATTTCTTTGTTTGGAAAAGGTATTAAATGGTAAATGGTGACATTTTTATGCAGCATTTCCCACCTTTAATCCACTCAAAGCAGTTTACAACAAGGAACCACTCTCCCATTCACACACACACTCATACACCAATGTTGTACCAGACAACTAATCTATCTATCTATCTACACGGAGACAAGCAGCTCACAGTAAGAATATAATGTGTTTTGTTTTCAGTTTTTTTGCCTTAGAGGACATATATATTTAATGTCATACCGTGGAAGTAAGTCATTTTAAACAGGTACTTACTACTTTTACCGAAGTACTTAACATTTGCCCTTGTGTCTGTACTTTTAATTAAGTAACAAAATTGAGTATTTTATCCTCCATTGCTAGTATCTAGAAGGTACTACTGTTACTACATTGTTGATTGTGAAATGAGCCATAGTTATGAATCACAAATTGAATCAGAACATGATTATATAACTTGTTCATTTCAAGTTGCCTTCACAGACATTGCATCACTGTTGTTTTAGTGTGTTTACCCGTTGCCTAGGAACCGCTAAAACCACCAATCACATGTCACCTTCAAAAACAACCTAAACTTTATTTCCTAGAGAAGGCTTTTTCGTCAACTGTGAAGTTTTTTTTCCTTAAAACTTTCCACTGAGTTTCAGAACGATGAGAAATTAGGACGGCCACTAATGGCGATCAACAATTTCAAACTAAATCCCTGTTTTGAATGGGGAAAAGTCTTTGACATGTTGAAACCCATGAATACTATTATCTAATATCTTAACTTTTAGCTACTTATAATTATAATTGCTCACCACCTTAGACTCCTCTGTGATGTTGTTCATTATGCACAAATATGGTAAAACACACATCATCATTAAGGATGGAGACTGGCTTTGACCACAATCCTGCGCATTAGGTTCTCATTTTTATACTTATATTTATACATTCACTTGTTTTTTGTTTGGATAGACCTGTTAGATACATAAATACAAACAAACTTATCACTCTATCTAGATCCTGGATACTTACTCTGTAGTTTGAGAAGGGAGGGTTCAGTGCTATGCCAAGTTCAAGTATCTTAATCACATGAACCATTGAAGCAGTATAGTTTGTTTATCAAGGGTTAAATGTTCTTGTGGTGATCGTGCTCTGTTGGTATGAAGTGTAGCAACATTAATTTTGATGTCTCTTCACTGGCTGCTCCTCTGTGTGTTTTGGGTGGTGCTTTGAGTGAACAATACTGGATTGTCTTACTGCATTTTGTCCATCAGCTTCTGTTGCATCATTTCCTGGGCTATTTTAGGTCCCAGAGCAATGCAACTAGTTAAGTAGATGTTTCAACTCCATTCAAGGTTTAACAAAGCGCAAGAATAACAGATCTTCTTATCGCAAATGCCACTAGGATTTAGTCCAATTACAGTTGTCTTGAGCACTACTGAGATCTGGAGACAGGTGCGGTTTAGGGACATGTTTTATGAGTTTTACAAGGAAGGTAAATCTGTCAAGAGCAAGAAATATTGCTTCTTTATTAGTCAGGTTTGCAAATTGGTTAAAGCCAACTTGTGAGACACAGGGCCGTCAGTGCCATTTCCACTTGGAAAGCCTTGGACGGGAACAAAGAGAAGTATTGTACTATATAAATATAGTACTCTATTAATGGACAGAGATTGTAAAACATCTAAGCTCTCAAAGATCAAAACAACCACAACTTCTAGAAATCCAGTGTATTAAGTTAAACCTGCTAGGTAAACAGTAAACACAATTGATTAATATCCATGCAATGTAATGTAGTTACTTTCACATTTTAAGGTTAGAGGTTCAATCCCCACTCAGACTATGTTTTGTTGTTGTTTCCTTAGGTAAGACACGTCATCCAAATTGCTCAGTATGAAAGTGGTGTGGTGTGATTGATGGTCAGAAGGCCCAAATGCACAGACTGGCAGCCTCGCTTCAGTCAGTCTACCCCAGGGCAACTGTGGCTATTGAATGAATAATGACTACAGTGAAGCACTTTGACAAGCCTGTAACATATTACAAGTGTGAGGCATTAATATTTTGCATAGATACAGACTCTGGTTATACAGTAACAAAATCTTTACTGATCAAATTTATTAAGGTTTGCTCTTTGCACTCTGTAAAGTACTTTTAATCTGTGAAAGGTGCTCTGTGAATAAAGTCTTACTTTTTTACCCTTAGGTTGTTTTTTTGATTTCTGTATAACCGTCTTTTGTTGAGTCCTTGGGCAAGACACTTTGCCTGTGTTCCTTTGTTGATTAGATTGATGGTGATCAGGTGCCAAACAGCCACATTATACATCATTATCAAAATTACGTTTGTTTATCCCCCAGGGAAAACTCTAATATATATTCGAGAATTATTTCTTTGTAGTGGCCATTTAGAGAAACTACACTGATATGGAGATACAATATAGACAATAACAATTATGTAAATCACAGTATGGATACAAATAATCTGTCGGCATATCCACCACACCACACCCCCCTGTGTCAGTCCAGCATGAACTTGTATCTTTGCCACAGTAGTTTATTGTGCCTCAACATTACAACATCATAAACCAAATCACATAATTACAGTCATTAAGCCCTGGTCCACCATCTGTGACACTGCTTGTGTAACCAGTTTGGTAATAATGCTTCTGGTAAATTTGGATTTTGATTCTCCATTGTCATATCTGGATTAAAACTATATAAACAAAATCACACCATATATTGTTTCAAATATCAAATGGGGAAGCCCAGTATAAAAGAGCATCCTAGAAGATTTTAAAATGCACTATATAATCTTTGTGTAGAGGGTCTGCCACCTGCTTGTTCCACTGAAATGTTCCACAATATGGCAATTAACCTTGCCTCGCCACAGATCTGAACTGTAATTTGGCCTTCATAGAGATATATCATTTTAATGCTATATTGAGGAACATTCCAGGTGAGGAAATACAAGACAATATCTTCAAGACAAGCAGGTGGTGCACCCTCCACCACAAAATATACATGGTGCACCTTTAACTAACTCCTTGTTTGATAACTGTATAACTGTTTACTTGCTTCAATTTAACAAAGTTTATCCTGTTTAATAATTTGATTGCGCATAATTGCTTAATAACCGGATAATGAGAGGCTTTAGTAACTTAACACAAAACGCTGGACTGCTGCACCTAAGATTGATTTGAAGTTAATTTATATCACATTTCTGGCTCCAATTAGCAGGTAATTATCAATTCTGTGCACTAAACAGGCGAATCACGTAGAGATAAGCGTTCATAGTTCAGCTACTGTCCCAAGCAGCAGTACTGATTTTATATGAGGCGGGGCGAACTTCTACTCCGCAAACTCCGTCTCTCTCTCTTCTCTTTCTCTCAAACATATTTGCCAGCAACATGCCTTAAGCGTGACAGCAAACTGGTTTAGCTAGGTGCTTGCAAAGAGAAATAGCGATGAAACCGTAAACTTTACACTTCAGAGTCCCTTCTCTCGGGCACATACGGTTTGGATAATACCACGACGAGGCGAGGATGTTATTCGCAAAAATGACGGGATCAGCGTTTAACCAAAGACGAGCGTGACTGACGTGGAAAAAGTAACGCGGTGAGTTGAGGATCTAACTTGGCCAATTGAAAAAAAAAACTTTAGTCATTTGAGTCGCTTTTTTGTAATAGTAAGCGAGGTTACTAGTGTTTTACAGCGTTATGCCTGCGTAACCGTGCGTAAAGATCTGACATATGCTCCGGGGGAAACCGGGCAAAACACTCGCAAATAACTTGGATTTGGAGCAAAACACAGCGCCATTCTCGGGTGTGAAGCGTAACATGGCCTCTTTTTAAAGCAAGTTGGACAAGTATTTTTATTAGGAACGCAGTTTTCTTACTTTGGTGCTTTTTAACACATGTGAGAGTTGAATGCGTGACTTTACGTGAACTTGCAAAAGAGTATTTTGGCCAGAGGGCGGAGCCACACCCTGCAGCGGATTCCTCATTCATTTCCCCGAAAGTGTGCAGTTAGTGAAGCAAAATACCCGTGTAAATAGCTGTATATGAAAGTATTTACTGTTGTAATGGGGCTAATGTACAACTGTCTGTGTACAAAGATGATATGGCACACAGGAAAATCAGGGGTCAAGGTTTGAGATGACATAAGCAAGAGATGGGTAGTAAACATGGGTCTATAATAGGAACTAATAAGATTTTATTATACGTCCATGGTAATTACTAGGGATGTAACAATAACCAAGATATTGTGATATCATATCGTATCGTCAGAAGTCTCACAATAATATCGAGGGCTGTCACAATATATCGAATCACAACTTCCTTTGCTTAAATGCATGGTTTTATAGTAGTAACAGCTTATAAACATAGGGTACCATATATCCCCTGAATCATTTCAATGCAGAAAACATGAAGAAATGAAGAAATATGTTTTTTACTTGAATTCTTGGGATTATGATGGAAATAATTCACACCAAAATCTTGTCAAGGTATTTTAAAAGCAAAAAAGTGTCCCATCTACAATTATATTTGCCTCTCCATTATATCGCATTAAATATCATGAGATGTATATCATGATAATATCGTACCGAGAAATTTGGATATCGTTACGTCTGTAGTAATGACACATTGGGTGACCATAAGTATGAGAAAGTTCTGTTCTGTAGCAAAGACATTTTCTTAATTATATTTTAGTAGCACTTCTTCTTCTTTTACACTTTAACACTGAAGAGACAACAGAGGATGTAGTCTACTTTTATCCAGTAAAATCTAAGATACCCAAAACTATATAACTGCATTTATTTTAAAAAGCCCAAAGGTGTCATTATTGCCGGTTTTAGGTTGAGACACGTTGGCTTGTCATCTAAATAAATACCTTCTATTAAGTCTCCCTTGTGCTGCCAACTTTTTGGAGTTCCTGCTTTGTTCTTACTTGGACGTCAAATTCAGTGTGTGTATCTCCAAGAATAACATGTTAGATAATCCATAGTATGATTGGCAGTTCATAGTTATATTATTTTTGCAGAGAGTAGTGGAAGACAACCCATGGAGTTTCTATTTGGTGTAATATTTAGTTGTGACTGTCAGGCAACTTGTCAGTCAACCTATATTATTTTCTTGATTTGATTTGCAGCTTTCTGCTTAGACTCTCATAGACCTGATAGATCTACTATATCTACTATATTTAGTGCAATGTTATTGTAGTGACAGCTAACACCATTTTGTGAAGCAATGAAAATAGTGTTGACATGCATTAGTATGTAGGCTCCAAGCAAGATGAAAAATACATATACAGTAAACCTATGTGTAACTGTGTAGCAGTAAAAAAGTAGAAACAGTAGTATTTGCAGTAGCTATGGAATTATACAACAAATACTAGTAAGAGCACTGGAATGTTCCATATTGCTATAAAATAAATTGATCACAATACTGACAAGGTTGTAAAACTGTTAGAAATGGTATTCTTTATTATGATATAGGTATTGTCATGAGCAATGCTAATACCATTTGTTTAGAATCCAGAGAAACTAGTGGCTGATAAACTCTGCCAATATTCTTGGTATATATTATTTTCCCAAATGGTGCCATTTAAATTTACTACAAACTCACTCACGGCCACTGTAGTCATGTTTTTCTGCAATGCCCTCTCAGCACTGAAGTTTACAAATATGAGTGTATTTTTTACACTTTTATTCAGTCAAGCAGTAGTTTTTAGCACTTTTTTTTTTTTTGCAGTTACAATACTTGTGACTGCTTCTTTCTCCCTTCTTTTGGTTGTTCTTCACATTTATATTTAGACAAGCATGTAAACTCTATGTAAAGTGTGAGTAGGCAAATCCCAAAGTAAACAAAGTGTGGTCTGTGTCCTTGGTGCCAGGAAGCTGAAAAACACAGGTAGAGAATGTGACTCAGTGGAGCATTAATAAAATGAAGAAATGTTTTGATTTTGTTACGCAATTCCTTTCAGAGACAGAGTTACACGAAGTTAGTCTGAACATGACCAGCTGCAGATTAGTTCGTTTCAGAGATTCAAATGACGCACTTTTACTAATGACATGTAAAAGAATGTATTGTAAAATTCCACTAAAGCCCTCAGAGTAAAGGATATTTTATGACACTACATGAAAGCAGCATGTTAAATTTATGGGTTTTAGGTCCCATCTTTGTTTTCTGTCTTATCTTTGTCTATTGAGTAACTTCAACCTAGCTAGTCCAATCTGTCAGCTAGTGTTCAATAGTACGGGATTAAAGGTATCAAATAATGATTCGAAGAACTGCACTTGTTCTTAGTATTTATTCAATCATTTAATCTCTAGATGTCATTTATGTCATATTGGATTAACAAATTATCAAATTTGCAATTCTGTTAAAGGTTTCAAATTGCACAAATAAAAACAGAGCCTTATTAGCTTGGTATTACATATGGCATAGGTGTAAGACAAAAGAAACAGAAAACACACACCAAAATTCTTGTAGAGGTGCAAATGCAAGGAGGAGCAGGACAAAAGTGAAAAAATGCATAGCAGACTCACATATTTTTCTTGCTTTGGACCACAGTACACCTGTACACCTGTACTGTGGTCCAAAGCAAGAAAAATATCTGACAAAGGCTTTTCTTTTTTTTTTCTTTTTTACCAAAACGTTAAATAAAAAAGCTTTTGAACATTGGCCATCTGAGTGTGTTATGCATTTTTTCACTTTTGTATAGGTGTAAGACAGCCATTCACTATCGTATTTATTGGTTGAATGTACCAGTAAATTATTCTGTTTTTAACAACTGGCTATCAAACATTTGCCTACCATTTTCTTAATTTGTCATTATCATTCAAAAATTGCTTTATTTGCTTCTGCTTTAAATTTTGTAATTGGTTCAGGTTTTGATTTCTTTTTACTTTTTTAAATGGCAATGACTATAACTTTTAGCTATAAATATTTTGAATATTGAATCTTGAATTCCAGATTACTTGTTTCTAAATGTTTGGTGATTTTAAATTGATCTTAGCGTGTTGTGAAAGGATCCTGGAATATTTTCTGTGGCTATTGTTTGTGTACTTTACAATGTTATGAGAAGACACTGTAATTATCTGCCACCGGATGCACACTGCTCTCCACACCTTTTCATTAGACAGTATGTTACACTGTGATACTGAACACTGTGACACTTCTCATCAGTTGTAGACAAGACAGACATAAACACAACTGATGATAGATCTACAAAATATTTTATTATGGTCATCGTGTAGTATACAAACTCTCTTAAAATGCTTAAAATGCTTGTTTGTTGTCACTGAGATGTTTTTATCCTTGGGTGGCATATTTTGAAGCTTGGTCTGGAATGTGGGCTTGCGATGGCTCATTTGGGAGAAACATCAAATCACTAACCCCAAGATTGACGGTTCAAGCCCGGTGACAGGAAATTGTCACAGGGCGTATTGCTTTTAGGGTCCCTGGGCGATACACTTCAACCACCTTGCCTGGGTGTGTTATCTGAGGTAAATTAGGCGAGATTGTGAATGAAGAATGTGCAATGGAAAAACTGCTGTGCGAAATGTGAAATAACTTGGGTTATATCTGGTGTGTGTTGTTAGTTGTACAATAAAACTGCAAAAGTATCCAAATAGTACTGTGTCAAGTAAGGATATGCAATTAATTAGATTGAATGAAATAGTCATATTTAGTCAATATTTTTTAATCAAGAGGTCTACAGACAAACCCCTGTTGGTAAAAGCATGTGGTTTGGAGCAAATTTCAGGTTTTGTAGGAAGAAATTGTACTACTTTTTTGGTTAAATGGCCATTATTGTTTATATTCAGGGCATTAGCATTCAAAAGCCCTTTATCATTTTCAATAAAATCTAATAAATTTAATAAAATATTGCCTCAATGTGCAGGACAAAGTGTGATTTATTTATTTATTTTTGTCATATCGTCCAGCCGTAATCTGGTGTGTTGTTTGTAGTATAGTAATATACAAAAGCAACTTGTGTACTGTTTGAGAAAAGTGGTAGTAGTACTAATAGAATGTGTAGTAGCACCAGTTGTAGCAGTAGTATTAGTAAAAGCTCTGTACTTCTCTGTATATACTTAAAACTTATACATGTTTTACTTTCTTCTTTCTTAGACGTGACCATGGCTCGCCGGTCACAGTGCTCCGATGCAGGAGACAACCCCCTTGACCCAAATTACCTGCCCCCACACTACAGAGAGGAGTACCGCTTGGCCATAGACGCTTTGATAGAGGAGGACATAGATGGCTACTACAAATTCCTCCAGTTCGTCGATGTTGTGGATTTTCTTGCACCCTCTGAGATCAACTACATCCAAAACTGTGTTCAACTCCCCAAGCAGAGCGCCCATCCTGAACATAGGTACCTAGACACAACAGGAGATGGGTCTTCGGACACATATTGGCCCATGCATTCGGATTTGGATGCGCCCGGACTGGATCTGGGATGGCCTCAGATTCATCACTTCATTGGTCCGACGGAGGTGACGACGTTAGTGAACCCTGCAGCTCCAGACATGCCCAGTATAAAAGAGCAGGCTAGGAGGCTCATCAAGAATGCTCAAATGGTGAGTTTAAGCTACAAATGTGAAGGCTTGTAGTATTTGCTCTTTATTTTTAATCTTCTCTATCAACTTTTGATTTCTATTACAGACAAGTAGTGAAAAATCTAAATATAGTTACACAAATTATGTTGCACACTGCTTTACATATTGATTTAGCATTGACTTTCATGATGTAATCCTTTTGCATGCATAGTTATATAATAATTTTGCGCTCTTTAAAAATATAACACTGTCATTACATAAGACATGCCACCTGGAGTTAATACTTCGCCTGGAATATTCCAAAGTACGACATTAAATTGATCTATCTCCATGGAGTCCAGTAGTTGATGCCACCAGGCCCAGGTCTGTGTGAAAATCTGAAAAAAATTGAGAAAATATTTTTTTGTATTCACTTTACTTTACTTTGCTGAACGGTTTTCATTTCTTTATAATTACAACCTTTGCTAATAGTGAGAATTGAAACTGATTAATCATGCAGGCACGCTTTATGCTTGAAGACTATTCTCAGAAACTAAATAAAATTTTTCATAGTTGACTGGGATTTAACGCACCCTGTGATTTGTCTTTCACTTTCATATTGTTTGTTTGTTTGTTTGCAGGTGGTTGCCGTGGTGATGGACATGTTTACTGATGTGGACATTTTTGCGGACATTCTGAACGCTGCCATGAGGAACGTGGCCGTGTACCTGCTCCTGGACGAGGCCAATGTGCAGTATTTCATCAATATGGTTAACAACTGTAGGGTCAACCTGCAGGCCATACAGGTGAGGGCTTAAACAGAGTTACACACATCTAGAGAAAATTTGTGTTTATCAGATTTTTTGTAAGAAAATTTCCAAAACCTTGTTCAATCAAAGTTACTGAAGAGTGACAAGATTTCTTATAACCCTGCTTCCCCTCCAACATACCTGCTGACGCTATTGTTGTGTAAATTAGTTAATTTTAAGAGATTTTAGGTATCAGAAATTGGAAAAATCTATGCATACTTTTCTCATAAACTAAATACAAATACATTTTCTGCAGATTTTTTTTTTTTTTGATCCTTAGAATTCTTGATGAAGCAGAATTTAAATACAGGTAACCTTTTGCATTATATTAGGCGTGAACCTATTGCCCTATTATGCACCAAGCATACACTTATCACACCAACCTCTAATCAAGTATGCACACAGCTCAGAGCTAGAATTAGAATAAGGTCTTCAGAATTAATAGACGTGCATTTTTATGGCGCTCCCATGAGTAATGTTTGATACCTCAAATTTCTTAATCATACGAAACAAATTGAATAGTTATGTGTGATTATTTTAAAGTCTTATATTATTTAAAGACTTAGATTATTTTAAAGTCTTAGATTATTTTGAGTCTCTTGGTGCTGTATTTTGTTGTAAGTTTTGTTTTGTTGTAAGTTGTTGTTACATTTAAAATATATTGTGTCATGTCTGCTTTATCTGCTCTCTGTATTTAGATCTGTGTGTCATGTACCAGCTTCACAGACTGTACAGCTCTGAACATGTACTTTAGCCTTTGTGTTTGCTAACAAAGGTTCCTGCCATTTTCTGTACTTTGACTTCCCAGTCTGTGGGCTAACACTGCCATCTAGTGTAGCTTCCACTAAATGCTATTTAAATCCTGGGTGCACAAAATAGTTTAAATTACCAAATTCTCTGAGCTTTTTCTGTTGTTCTTTTTTAGTTTTTGCGCGTGAGGACGGTGACGGGGATCAGGTATCATTGTCGCACAGGGAAGTCCTTCAAGGGCCAAATGTTGGACCGCTTTATTCTCACAGACTGTAGAGCCGTGCTGAGTGGAAACTACAGGTGAGAAATCACATTTGAATAGATTGAAAAATACTCAACATTTTATAATTACCTTTATAGTTAAATATTTTTCTGTCTCACAATCAAAATTAAACACAAGTAGAAAAGACAACCCTGTTAGGATAGACAGCCCTTCTTTGAACATAAATGGAGGCCTCAGACATCATCTGTCTCTCATCTACAACTCTATCCTCAAGCCTAAAACAAAGAGAACAATAGACGTTGCCAGGTCAGGTGAAAACACTCATTTTGGCCCTGAATGATTATGCTAATATGTCCCCTCACTCAGGACAGATGAATAGGCCTAGCTAACTAACAGAAACTGTAAACAAGTAGGGTGTTAGTTTCAGTGTAAAAGTATTTTTCAATATGTACATACTGAGTTTCATAAAAAACTTTTATTCATCGCCATTTAACACAAAGAAGAGTCCAGTGCCTCCAAATTCTGAAGTTTGCTCAAAATCCCATGCTTCTACTTCTTGAGGGTTGGCCGTAGACCAACTAAACCTTAATTTCTAATAAAATTAATTTCAGGGCCCAATATATGAAACGTAGAGTTTTTTATTCATTGATATTTCTAACTACTTTCCTTCTCTCTCCAGTTTCATGTGGTCCTATGAGAAGCTCCACCGCTGCATGGCCCACCTCTTTCTGGGACAACTGGTGTCAACATTCGATGAGGAATTCAGGATCCTGTTTGCTCAGTCTGAACCTCTGGACATCAAACACTTGGAGGATATGTCTGTTTTACCAACGCGCCCCTATCCTGGAGAGCGCCCCATGTTAAGAGACCCAAGGAAATACCGCATAATGGATCCAGGACAACCGGAGGAATGGAATAGACCACCTTATGAGGAAAATATGGACTGGAGAATGGGACCGCTTAAAAGACATGAGACTTTTCAAGGACCTATGGATATCTACAATCGCTATCCGTCACCACAATCCAGGCTAGACCCCCAAACTAGACTTGAGCCCCCATTTGATCAAGGCCCTCCAAGAATAATGGAAGGTCTAGCCCATAAAAGACACGGTTTTGCAGAGGGTGGACCAGGCAGATATAACTTCCCATATCAACAACCGCAACCAGGATTACCTGAAGTTGAGCCACCTGGTCGGCCATTTTACAGAGGGCAACAACCCCTCCACCCAGGACCAGGACATGACCCAGATTATAGTGGTTATGGGCCAGTGGATAAATTTTGGAATCAGGATTTTCAACAAGAAGACCCCTATCCTGAACCAGGATATCCTCGGGAAATGGACCCACATGAAAACTTTGATCCCGTCTTAAACTATTTATCATCAGCTAGAAATGTTGAAATGGAACAAAGCTCTGACAAGTTGATTCCCGGTCCAGATTTGCCTTACGCTACAACACACCCTCGTAGACATATCGGTCAGCCGTATGCTTGTCAAACCTCACCTACTCCTTCTAGTACAACAGAGAAGAAGTTTATGCAAGACCATTCAAGTGATCGCAAAGACCCCACAGTGAAAAGAGGGTTAAGAAATTGGAGAATTAGCTCGTATCTTAGTGCTTATGATAGTTCAGGAGAGCCAGAAGGTTTACCAATGGGACAGGGTCAAGTTGTAGATCCATTTGATGATATGCCACACCCTATGCAACAACCAACACCCCCACCACCACAAGCTATTGAGTTAGCAGTCTTCGAAAATTCCTAATGTCAGAGAATTCAAGGTTCCAGCGTTACCAAGAGCTAGTCAAATGCCGGCTTTTGGCAAAACAAATCCAAAAGATTTACCTAAAAAATATCCAGATGAAATTGTTCCCCCAGTGCTTCAAGAACTTAAAGCATCCACACCAACTCCGTCTGAATCTTCATCAACGACAGATGGGGAAAAGCTAGAAGAGTTTGAAATAAGGGAGCCTATTGCGTCTGTGCTAAGACGAGATGATTCTTTTCGTGGAAAATACAGTCCAGCAGTGCAGAGGGGCTCGAGGTTGAGATCGTCTCTTATTTTTAGGTCATTGGATCAAAATTCCTCTCAAGATAATAGTGAACAAGATGACGATAAGGATAAGACAGATCCAGACCAGACTAAATTGGCTTTTATTAGTCAGAGAAGATCAGGGGCGAGAGAGCCTTTTGAGTGGAAGAATTTTATCAAATCATCTGATAATGCTAAGACAGAAGAAGACACTGGTAAACAAGCTGAGAAAGATTCAGAAAGTAAATTGGAAAATGTCCCAGAAGGTCAGGAATTAGCAAAGACAAAAGACATAACTAAGTCCCCACAGGTAACCCCAAAAGTAGATAAAACTGAGCATCCACCTCTGCAACCACTACAACAACCTCCTTTATCTCTGCTAAGTGAGCAATTTTTAGATATGAACGACCCCGACCAGAGATTTTTGTTTTTCAAAGAGCTAGCGGCGAAACGTAAAGCAGAAAAGGCAGCAGAGGAGGCCAAACTAAAACAAAAAAGTGCCACAAAAGAAAAGAAAGAACAACCAAAAGACGAGGAAAAAAGCAGAAGGATGTAGCAATCTCAAGCAGTGAAACCAGTAAAGAGGACAGCAAGAAAACTGAGGTAAAAACATTGGATTTGAGCAGTAAAATTGAAAAAGTTGATAGCGGAATTAAAAAGCCAACGCAAAGCTGTGATAAAACAGAAACTAAAAGTGCAACTGAGTCAGAAAAGATTGAGTTAAAACAAAGCCAAGCATGTCAACCTGCATCTCCAGAAAAACTAACTCAAGAAAAGCAAGCTCCAAAAGAAATAGATCCCCCAAAATCTGCTGAAAAACAAGACCAGACAAGCATAACCATTAATGTTGAACAAGTTGCTGAGGAAAAGCAACCATCTACTAATACTACTGATGCTACCTCAAAAGATCCACAGTTGAAAAATAGCAATTCAGTTCCAGATTTTACAAAAACATTAGGGTTGAATTTTCTCTCCTCTTTGCCATCAGCAAGAATCTATGAACGATCACAATCACAGGAAGCCAACAAAGAAGCAACACCCAAGTCTAGGTTATGGTCCCCAGTTATACAGAGAAGAGATTTTCTAAAGCCACTTGGAGATAAACAAAAGAGTATTTCAGCTGCTATTGAAATTGGGGATAAACCTGAAACTAAACAAAGTGCCCAGACGATTTTGGAAAACAAGGAGAAAATGGTCGAAAAAACTAAAGTGGATAGTCCATCGCATGAAATTAAAGAGGACACTAAAGATATCACTTCAACAGCAAAAGAAAAACCTGAATTGTTAAGTAGTGAATCAGTAAAGGAGGAATTAGTCAAATCTACTGCTACTGAAGAAAGTACAGGGCCTACTCAGTCAAAGCCGGAGAAACAAGAGAAATTATTAACTATTACGAATCCAAAACAAGCATTAATGTTTAAAAATGAGGAATCTTTAAAACAACCAATAGAAAGCAGAAATGAGAAATCTAGTGTGGAACATGTTGACGACAGCGCTCAAAGGTCCGATAAATTGCAGACTATAGTGCCAAAAAGTGAACCACTACCAAAAGATGTAATGGAAGAAAAATCTAATATTGAAGCTCAAGATAGTGTCAGTGTGAGAAGTCCAAAGGAGACTATAGAAAAGCCAAGTGAATTGCAAACAAAAGCTGAAAAAGGATCTAGTGAGGAGAGTGTTGACAAAAATGTACAAGTTGCGAGCTTAGCAAAGATGGTGCTAAAGATTCAATTGCCACTCCTGAAAGGCTAAAGATGTCTGACTTGTTAAAAGATATAAGTGTCATCGATGAAAAGTCTAGTAATACTTTGTCATCAGATAAAACAACGCAAGAAACCGCAGCTGCTTTACCTCTAGATGAATCCAAACATAAATATCATATCTCGAATACTGAGGAGGTCACCCCGGTTGAGTCCCATTCAGACACATCAAGTCCTGCGTCATTCGCCACGGCTCCTGAGTTTATATCTTCAGAAGACTCGGACATTCTTTCACCGGCTAAAAGTGACCCCCAAAATTTGTTCAAAACTAGCAATTTGGGGTCGAGTGTGTCCGATATGTCAGATTTTGAAACGCCAAATTCAGAGATAAGCATGTCACCGATGCCATTAGCAGTTGATTTGGATGATACGTTTGAGGATAATGTGTCTTTAGCAGAAACTGTTATAGAGATTCCAAAGAGGAAAGCGGCAACAATAGAGGAGGTGAAAAGAGAGAGTGAAAATGCAAATCAAAAGCAAGGATCTGGGCATCTGTCACCAAAAACAACCTTTGATAGTTTGAACTCAGACGCTGCGCAATTGGACGCTAAAAGTCAAGATCAAGATGCTACAAATGAGTCAACAAAAAATGAGACTGCAAAATCTAATGAAAATGAAAAGATGGTTGATAGTGCCGAGTCAGAACAAGCAGAAAGTTCTACACAAAGTGAAGTAAATAACGTGACAAGCAAAGCTGAAGAAGCAAAAATGACCGACAAAGCTTCAGAAATTGGCACAGACAGCAGTGCAAAAGATGCATCTGATGTTCGAAGTAAGACTGGAGAAGTGAAAACGCAGGACCTAACTAGCCAGGCAGTTTTGAACAAGGACATTGTAGTACCTTCTGCTTCCTCAGAAGAGAAGGATGAGACAAAAATGGAGTACAAATCTGCAGAAATTACAATTAAAGATACATCTAACACTATGGAGGAAAGCAAAGAATCTATAGATGCTAAATGTTTAGATCCCAAAATATCTATTATAAAGAGTGAAGCTGAGACAAGTTCAACTAACCAGTCGACTAATCCAGGATCCAATCTTACAAAAGACACAATAAGAGATAAAGTGTCTGAAATTAATAGTGACGTCAGTGAGGTAAGCAAAGAGTCTTCTTCTGAGAGTTCAAAACATGAAACAAAAACTAAAAAGTTTACAGCCGTTTTGAAATTGAACCAAGCATTGCATCAGAGGAGAGCAACGCAAATACGGTCACATCCAAAGTTGCGGAGAAGGTCAAAATAGCAGATACAACTTCTGAACTTAAATCAGATTCTACTATTGAAATTAGTTTGGAAAGTAAAACAGAGGGGGTTGGTCCAAACTTAGAAGCATCTGAATCAGAAGCAAAACAAGCAGTAAGTAATGAAAATAATAACTTGGAGATCCAAGATAGTGCAGCAGAGGAGGCTAAAATGATTGACAAAAATACTGAAATTATAACTAAAGAAGCGTCAGTGAAAGAGGATAATGTAACACCAAATAACACAAGTGAAGTTAACGAGTCACCAGCAACCTCCCAAGTAACAAAAGAAACTTGTAAACCTGCTGAAATAATTAACAGTGATATTAACAGAGACGTTGGCAATGAGACTGCTCCAAAAGATGAGAAGACAGAATCAAAAACAGAGATTTTGAGTAGTACAAGTGAAACTAACCAGTCCACAACAAGTTCAGCTACCTCAGAAATGACTACAAATTCAAATTCAGACAATGTAACTACAATTGTCAATAAAGAAATTTCTAAATCTACCGGTGAGGAAAATGAACAGATGAGTAAAAATGCCAATGATAGCACCAAGGAAAACACAAGTACATCTGATTCAGCTAAAGTGACTGAAACAACATCCCCTACAGCTCAGCCAAAACAACAACAACCAAAATCACGCTACCTTTCTTCCACTGCTAATGTCATCTCAAGCAGTAATCTGAGAGACGATACAAAAATATTATTAGAGCAAATATCTGCGAATAGCCAAACCCGAAATGAGTCAAATTCTGCCAAAGAAGCTCCAGTGACTGACGATGAAAAGGAGGATGAAGCTGATAAAAGTGGAAAACGTAAAAATGATTTAAGGTCGTCTATGGGGCAACAAAAGACAAGCCAGGATCGAGATAAACTACTAGAGAGGATTCAAACAATGAGGAAGGATAGGAAAGTGTACAGTAGATTTGAAGTATGATGATAGTTAAATGAAATAGCAAGAATATCAATGTTTTTGTATGATGGGACAATGTAAGGTAATTTATGTGAAAGTAATATACAAAACGATATACATTGTCCACTTGGGGCACTTTTTTATACACAGATTAAAAAATTTTCCCAATTTTATATTTGTTAATAGAATTTTAAAGGGACAAAACTGTTGTATCTTGGATCTGGGATCTGTATCATTGCAAGATTGAACCAATGCCTTGTACTTTTTTTTTTTTTGCAATGTTTGAGTTATTTGTACCTTGACAAGGAGGACAAAACTCAAGCTGGTTGGTTGCAGTTGGAAAGGACTAGGACCAAATGTTAAAGTGAATAGTTTGTTTATTGAAGAAAAAAGTGGCTTGTCCATTTTTGTTCACTTTTTACTATTGCTGAAAAACCATAGACATGATCCCGAAGGAAATTCCACCTTAAGTAAGAGTTAATTTTTACACAAGAGTTTTTCTTTCTTATATAGCTCAATATTATATGCCTAAAAACTTGGATAAACTCTTTTGCATTATTTTTAAATAGTTGGGAAAAATTGAAAAATTCAAAATGACAAAAAACGTTTCATGTTATATAAATATGGCCTTATTGATTCTAATGTTTTTGCAGATATTATTAAATAATGAGTTAAGTCGATTTGATGACTTTGTGGGTTCAGTGCAATGTGACTTGGACTGTTTTATGTTGTACATTGTTAGTCTAAAAACATTTTTTTTTTTTAAGTATTATGTCAAAACTGTGATTTCTAGTCCATGTGTCGGCTAATATTTGCAGTTAATTGCATATTGGATATTGGCAGGAACTGTATCATGGATGTACATAGTTAGGATTTTTGTCAAGTAACAAACCAGGCACAAAATGTTACGTTTTGTTCAACAGAAACTGTTGCTTTTCACTGAATAGACTACTACAATGCTGCCGGTGTCATGGCCACAGCATTTTATTCCTTTGTGTTTCTGTTTTTTTTTTTATTATTTTATTTTACTTACAAATAAAATTCTGTATTTGGAGAGAACCCACATTTTTTTCGAAATGTATTTGTCTGATTTTAGTATGATGAAACTATATCACCACAACATAAAATGTAAAAACAAATCGTTAGCAAGTTATACATTTCATACGTGTCATTATTTACTCGGAACTTGACTACTGACATTTTGCAAATTCATTAATTATTTTCTATTGGGCTATTTTTATGTTTTGCATCGGTATCAGAGCACCTTAAAATGAGTTGATTTGAGAACCGTGGCGGAGTACGTACCCGCGCGCTGTCAGGCCTCTCTCCCTCTGATTGGTCAGAATGAGGCAGATGAGGCGCTTTTACTTTTAATAGTTCACTCATCCATGACTTCAGTACCCCTTAAAATCTTTTTCATACGTGTGACTGCTGACAGACTACAGTCAGGATTAGAGCAAAACGGGATTCAGAACCAGATCAACAAGCAATGTAAGTCATTTATATGTAAGACATGAATATTTTAATCAGATATTAAAGTATCTACCTATCTACTCTAACTGACAGCATAAAAAGTCAAACATTCCGTACAAGTTTTCCCACATCAGATGCCAAAAGCCTGTAGCAGTATTGTCAAAACGTGTCTGTCTTTGAAGAGAGGCAGGGCCTGTCTTTTAAGAAGGAATGCTTTTCCAGTATCAGGGAATAGGTCTACAGAAGTCTAGTCTACTAGCCCAAGCTTTATGTGAGAACAATGCTGTTCCATGAATGCTCTAAAATGTTGTGGTTTGTGAAATAAAGAGGGAGATGAAAAGACTGGGTCTCGCTGTATTACTCAGGCTGCACTACAGCGTCTATTCACAGGCGCGATCCCACTACTGAGTGACACGGGGGCTTTGACCTGCTCCGTTTCCGACCTGGGACGGTGCACCCCTCCTAGATGACCTGGTGGCAGTTCAGAGCTCCTGAGCTCAAACGATCCTCCAGCCTCAGCCTCCCGAGAGCTTGGATTACAAGCGCGCGCCACCGCACCCGGCAACACCCACAGAGCTCACGAGGACATCTGAGGTTTACCTGTGTGACGTCATACATTTGTGGAAATCTTTAAAATGGAGGAGATATAGTATAAATAGTTAAAACGGGTCTAAATACGTTTTTTTCATCATGAGGTAAGTCTTAATGTTTTTGTTTCCAGTCATAGATTATTGTCTGGCTGTTTAATTTAAAAAGTGTTTATGAGTGTAAACAGTTTTGGTGCACAATTCATTAATTGCACTGTTCTATTTGTAGGAACCCTGAGCGGTTTTCACGAGATGAACTGTTTGAGTTCCATGGCATCTGGTTGAATAATTATTACACAGACAACTGGGACAATCTTCAGAATTTCCAGGCAAAGCCAGATGACATATTGATAGCAAGCTTTCCCAAATCAGGTTTGTCTCTAAGAAAAACAATATTGTTAATGTCACATTTTTAAGTGTCCCTTTTGTTTTGTAGGACAAATCTGGATGAGTTACATAATTGATTTGCTGTGTTCTGAAATACCTCAAGAAAATCTACCTTCCTCTCACATATTTAGAAAAATTCCTCATTTAGAGATAAGCGTTCCACTAAAAGATGGTAAACAGACAACTCTTAAAAGGTCTAACCTTCTGTCAATCACAATATAACATGTGTTATCTGATCAGGGACCGTCTACACCGGAGTCCAACATGCAAACTCTTCGCTCACATCTCCTCGACTCCTCAAGACTCACCTCCCTGTTCAGTTTGTGCCAAAGTCTTTTTGGGAGAAGAACTGCAAGGTACTTGTGCATTCAACATGAATAAAATAAACGGATTATTCTTAAACAGGTGTACAAGGAACAAAGCACTGGAAGGGCACCTGGTTCAATATGTGAAATAATCCACAGATGATTTGAAGCCCACAGCTCCACTATACAGTGCATGAAGCTCACATGTAGGGGAGACCAGGGCACAGTCACACTTTTTTTCATTCAAGTCTCTGTCTCTGAATCTGGACAACAGAAATGTAAAATGTATTCATATCAAAGAAAACAAACCAATCTTAAGCTTAGCCTATACAATATTTGTACAATTTCAAAAGAAGCACTACAGATGTGTACTACATAATGAGGACATCTAAAGTTTTCACTGGTGACAACTGTGTTTTAGGGCTCACTCTGCTGTAACATTTTCTCAGTATGACTAGAAAAATGCATATGACCATTATTCATTGAATTAGGTGATGTTTTATTTGTGCAGATTGTGTATGTCGCTCGTAACCCGAAGGACGTGATGGTTTCTTTTTACCACTTCGATCAGATTATCTTATTCCACCCAGAGCCAGGAGAATGGAGCAGCTTCTTCTAGAGATTTCTAGAGGGCAAGAGTATGTGAGCACTAATCAATTACTCATAAAGACTGTGACTTACAGTATGTTTTCCTGATGCAGCGATGCATGGATCTTGGTATGACCACATTAACAACTGGTGGAAGAAAAAAAGAGACCTACTCCAACCTGCAATTTGTCTTTTATGAAGATATGGTGAAGGTATTTATTCTGACTTAAAGGCAGACACAAATGCAGTAGGAGACTTTGATCTAGATGTGTTTTGTTTCAGGACACAAAAAGAGAAATTGATCAACTTTGCAGCTTCCTTGGTTTAATTCGTTCCTCTGAGGAAAAGGACATAATCAAAGCCAGAGTGCAGTTTGATGAAATGAAAGAAAATCCAACTGCCGGCTGTACAATAATTCAAGGACTTAAACTAGACATATTGAGAAAGGGTAAGCTTATAGTAAAATATCATATCAATCATATCATATCATGACAGTTATGAAAATGATGGAATATGTTTCTGTTTGGCAGGAAAGGTTGGAGACTGGAAAAACTATTTCACTGTGGCTCAAAATGAGGAGTTTGACGCCGATTACAAGAAGAAAATGGAAAACTCCACAATTCAGTTTTGCACTGAAATATAATAAATAAATTCAAATATGAACTGTGAAGCTTATTGTTTTTCATTGGCCAAATATGATGTGAAAGTAATTGGCCTGTGTGACAAACAGATTTCCAGCCCACACTGCAGCTCAGCAGTGTTGGGAAGTAACTGTATATGCAGAATAATATTACTTTGAGTGACTGTATTCTGTTTCCGGTATTTTTTCATTTTGTAGTATTCAGAAAACTTATTTTACTAAAATCAAAAGGAATGCATTGCAAAATAGGTCTTCAGTATTAGAAAAAAAACATATTTTTTTATTTATAACATCAGCTGCCCAAAGCAATTCACAAGTATAAAAGAGGGAAACAAACTATACAAAAAGTACAAAACAACAGATAAAAAAATACAACAAATTCTGTACTTGGATCACAGCAATTGCCGAAACTGGCTGCTAATCTGTGCTTTTCCCTTCTACCCATTAGCCCATACACTTGCAAGTCTTGCACCTCACATTTGTGTAAAAAGATTAGATGACTGATGTTTATGTGGGCAAATGTTCTGAGCCACTTGCCTCAGTGAAACACCATAAAATGAATATGGTTTTGAATTAATAAAATTAATAATTATTTTCAGATATTTTGTTATTAATAATTCATAAAATACACCGACTGAATGTTTTATCATGCCATTTTGAGCAATGAAAGTTCCTGTTAGCCCCAATAGGGTTTTTAGACTCCCATGCAACTTTTTATTGCCAGACAATAATTTGTTGAAACAAAAACATCAAGACTGTGAATTTCTTTAAACATATACCCATACTGTTAACTTTATCTATGCTAAACTAGTTTATCACCTCCAATGAGATTTCCACAGATGTATGACGTCACACAGGTAAACCAAATGAGGATCAAATGTCCTCGTGAGCTCTGTGGGTGTCGCTGGGTATGGAGGTGCGCGCCTGTAATTCAAGCTCCCAGGAGGCTGAGGCTGGCCCGGGACCACCAGGTCGTCTAAGGAGGGGTGCACTGGCCTAGGTCAGAAACGGAGCAGGTCAAAGCCCCCGTGCGCTCAGTAGTGGGATCGCGCCTGTGAATAGACGCTGTAATGCAGCCTGAGTAATACAGCGGGACCCAGTATCCCTCTTTACTTATAAACTACACACTGAACACATAATTTTTGTCTCATATTTTCATAGATCCATGCCTATTGCCAGTCGTTTTGGTTGTCTTGGATTCTGATTGGTTATTGATAATTTTGCTGCGCTCTGATTGGCTCTGGGACCTCAAGGGTCGCTCAGAGTTTTCCGGGGCCATTTCACGTACACGTACACTCCTGCTGCAAAACATAATATATATTAAATTGAACGTGTTAAACAGCATTTGAGTGATACATTTTTGTTCCATTTCGTTTTTTAATAGTATAATTAAACCATGAAGGTCACTGGGGATTTTAATATGTCGCCCATTAAAAGTACCACCTTCTTTTTGATGTGTACGGGACCAAAGCCAAGTTTAAGGACAGTCAGGAGTTCACAGCAAGTTTATATTGAAGCAACAGTGTTAATCATTGTATTTCTATGATGTTTTGGGTAATATGTTTAATGTTTATCTATTTTTAAGGAATACCCAGAGATGAGGAACTGGCTACCGGGCTGGAGAGAAGGGCCCTGCAGTCTCTGAAGAACCAAAAAATTGATACACCCTTCCAAAACTGCAAACATTTTTGGCTAATTCTCATACTATAATACATTTTACTAAGTCACAACCACCATCAATCAAAATTATGTGAAATTGCATCAAATACTGTACGTTTTTCCAGTTTAGCTTGTTTGCTCATCAATACTTACTTACTGGGTTTAACAGACGTCAACACATTTCCTCTGTTTGAGCTTCCGTTTCACTGGCTGCCTGTGTGTTTTAGAATCGATTTTAAGATTTTACTGATTTTAAAGCTCGTTTAGGTCTTGCACCAAGTTACATTTCAGAACTTTTAACCCCGTACGAGCCTCCCGCAGACTTAGATCCTCAGGCAGGTCCCTGTGGCTGTTCCAAAGTCCAGACTCCGGACGAAAACTGATGGAGCCTTTTCAGTCCGGGCACCTCAGCTTTGGAACGACCTG